AATGGACACATTATTTAGACAGCACAAATGAACAGGTCTATTGTTTAGAGGCATATTACTGTTTGTTTGTTCACTAATCGTCTTTAAAAAAAACATGTTTGTCATAAAAGTACTACATTTGTTAAGAAGAACTTTTATTCACTTCCTGGAAAGCATCAGTAGTCAGGCTAATGTGCTTGTGTCAGCCTTTGGCTTTTTTTTTTTTTTAATCTTTCATCAAGATCAAGAAACATCAACCACGCTAACACACTTGGCAATCTGTGAACATTAAATACTCGTTTGATATATATCTCTGCAACTCCATATTATGCCAGGAGTTGGTATGATGGCATAGCTGTCTGTGTATCATAAATAAATCATAAATATAGAGAGCCATGATCTAAATTATAACCTCTAGACAGGCCTGTACATGCACGCCTAACTACAGCGGTTGGCGGGATGAGGGAACGAGACAGGGGAGACAGATCCAGACGGCTTGATGGATTTATCTTCATGTCTTTTGCATCTTTTGAAGTTGAATCTGTTTGCGGTTTGTTGTCACATTTTATTTGATACATTTGCAGGTGTCTCCTCGTTTGTTCAGAAATGTAGAACCTCTTCTCCATCTACTTCTTCATCCTCAAATCTGTCCGTCTTGCTCAAAACAAGGGCATCTTTGTGAGACAGTAAAGGTAAGGGTTGAAAGGTCAAGGTGTGTCAGGTGATATGTCTCGCTGGTATTTAGCCACAGTTATTTGAAGCTCACAAGAAAACAGTAGAACACCAAAAGTCAAAGAAAGAGAAGATGGAGTAACCAACTCTCGGACATAGTCATGAGCGAGATGGTGGTGGAAGTTTGTTTAGAAATGTTGGGGTCACCTTGACTGCTAATGACTCACTGTTGGGAATGTTGCTTCTAGGTCTTGTTCTTTGAGAGCCATTGTCTGTTCCTGTTTGCAGACTGTTTGAGCACACAGTGCTTGTTTGTGAACTCGGTGTGAGAGCATCCAGTGACCCTTGGTTGTAGGCATTCAAGGACATGTTTACCATGTACAAAACGTTTGATAATCTCTATTCAGTGTTGGTGTTTGGTAGATGCAACAGACGCGATAATGTCTTCTGTAATAAATACATGGCTTAACAGTAGTGATACGACTGATTTAGGTTGATTAATCAGCTGATATTTAGCTATTTTGAGATGATTTGTCTGATCATTTCACCTAGTGTCCACTGACAGCTTTATTGATAAGAGAGTGCCTTTTTTTTTTTGGAGGAATGTTTGTGTAAGATAAATGCTCATTCTGTTATATTTAATATAATATATTAATGTCAATTTTAAATTAATATTTCAAAAATATATGATCAAAAAAATGTTTTAACCCTTATTATATGATATATATAGAGTTTTCATTCTCTTTTTTTTCTGTTTTGCCTACAAAGTCTTATTTTATTTGTGCTTGCCATGATTCCTATGTGCATGTTGCTTTATATTTTTGCTTTCTTGAGATTTATTTCTTACAAAGCACACAAGGATTCTCAGTTCAAAGTGTAGATCAAATTGGAAACATAGTAGCAACCTGAAGGAGTTTTGTCACAAGTTCTTAGCCACAACATGACGTGGAGTGCCAAAAACATTTTTAAGATTAAAAAAAAAAAAAACACTGTAATGCAATATAATGTATTTCTGTAATAAAGACAGAAGTGTCTTTATTGTTTTCTTTATTGTCTTTATTATTTAGTATCAATGAGATACTATTATCTCATTGGTTATTATATTATCTAATTAATTATTATTTTGAATTAGTCTTTTTTTCCATTTTTAATTTTAAAGTTTTAGTACTTTTGTTGTGTTTTTGTCATTTTAGTGTTTGGTTTTAATTTTAGCTTCAGTTTTAGTTTTAGTTAACTATAATAATCCTGAGACAGAAATATGATATATTACTCCAATGCTGAATAAATAGTTATATTTAATAATTTAATACATTTATTTAATCAGAATGAACAATTCTTTAGGAGAAGGCTGAGCAACATAGCAGCTTGCCATAATGGCACTTACCTTTTACAATGGCTTCAAGCACACATCATTGAATCTGAGTTTAGGGTCAATCTGTTTTATAACATCCATTTGACTCTATAAGTGCTGAAACTGCATATAATAGTTTTATTTCTGCTTAGAGTATACACTTATGCCAGCTTTTCAGATGAATGCATTTGTTTTCATGTTCATTGAAGTTCTCAATGTGTTTTGCAGTAATGCAGTAACATCTGAGTGTTACTCAAACCCACGAGTCTGATGAACAAATGTGACCCTGGACCACAAAACCTGTCATAAGTGTCAATTTCTCAAAATTGAGATTTATACATAATCTGAAAGCTGAATAAATAAGCTTTCCATTGATGTATGGTTTGTTAGGACAGGACAATATTTGGCCAAAATTGAAAATTTGGAATCTGAGGGTGCAAAAAAATAGAAATATTGAGAGCTCACCCGTCTCTTTCAATTGAATACATTGGTCCTCTCCTTCCTGTTCACTCCTGTCTCACATCGTCATGTGTGATGTCCCACCTCTCGTTTCACCTCGCCCATCACCTGTCACACTATATTGATGTTGCTTGTGTCATCTACATGTTGTCCTTTGTTATATATTTGTACCTGTATAGTGTCAGATTGTGTTGGTCAGTACATGATTGTGTGTATGTGGAATTTTAAGGGGCACTGGAGGCACAACACACACACACACACACACACACACTCACTATATCACTCATAGATCATGGCCCCGCTGTGTTAAACCAACAGCTCAAAAAGTAAAAAAATCTGATTTACTAAACAGAGAAAGTACTGTGTATAGATCCAAGTATGTATATTATATAGAATAAATTATATTTTATTCTATATTTATTCTATATCTAATTTATATTTATGAAAATTTTAAGTTTATATTTCCATTTTTTAATTACATGTTTTTTTAAATTAATATTTAAAATTATATACTCATTAGCTTGTTTAATTCTGATTTACCTTACTTTTTTGTAATGACATTTTTTTATATGAATTATTTTACGGAGGAAGTCGATATTTTTGTTAATTACTGCAATTCAGTCATTCTTCTTAGTAATTTAAGCAATAGATTTCAATATATGAGCCAATTCCAATATAATTTAGAATTTTCATGTGCATGTAAGTAAGGTCATTGCAACTTATTGATTTGATACTGACATGATAGCTCAGTTAAACAGTTTTTTTCCCACTTTACATTCTTCACAATTGCATGACATTATTCTTCTTAAGTCTGATTTTTTTTTTTTTAAATTCTTATGTGTGTTTGCATGTTTTTACATTTCACCTGTTGTGTGAGTAACAAAGCTTGTGAGTTCTCTTGTGTCTTGTGTCACTCTGTGCTTTTATCATGTACAACAAGCGTCTGTGTCTATGTGTTTATTCATATCCATCTCTTCACTTTATAGGTTTACTTTCACTTTGGCCAACATTGTTCTCTCACTTATTTTTAGGGCTGTTTTTCTTACAGTCATCTCTTTATCTTGCGTGCTCACTGAGCTGTTTAAAGAGCTATTTTGTGTTTAACTGTGAGTATAGCTAACTTTTACTAGTTTAATTTAGCTCAGTATGTGTCAACTTGAGGATTAGTCTTTAATTAATATGCCTGTTTTATTCTCTGCAGTTTGTGCTTTTGCTATCATCTTAATCTGGGTAGTCTACGCCATTCATTCCTTTCATATTGATTAGTGTAATGAACAATATTTGAATAAGTATTACAATTTGTATGTTATTTGCTTAAACAGTTCCTTTAATGATTTGATACATGCTAGCAATGTCATTTTAATGGGATTATGAATGGTGTATTATGACTATCTCCCTTCTTTCCTTTCTGTGCAGTTGGGCAGCACAGTGTACCAGCCATGCATCAGTTTTTTCAGCAGATGCTATTTGAGCAAACTTTTCCCCAGTGCCTCACAGCGTTACGTCCCCATGCGCACAACATGCTGCTTTTTTAATGTGGAGATTGGCATTATTGGAGAAAACAGTATCAAATTGTTTATCTTTCTGTAGGTATTATATAGTTTACAAAGTCTAAACTTATGAAATGACTATAAACAACTAAATCTGACTTAGCTTCATACTGTATCCAGTAATGCCAGTAAAATCTCAATCAGTCATTCAAGCACCAGCGATCTTAAATTCATTGTTGTCTCTCTCTCTTTTTCGCTATTTTGTGTTTAACTGTGAGTATAGCTAACTTTTACTAGTTTAATTTAGCTCAGTATGTGTCAACTTGAGGATTAGTCTTTAATTAATATGCCTGTTTTATTCTCTGCAGTTTGTGCTTTTGCTATCATCTTAATCTGGGTAGTCTACGCCATTCATTCCTTTCATATTGATTAGTGTAATGAACAATATTTGAATAAGTATTACAATTTCTATGTTATTTGCTTAAACAGTTCCTTTAATGATTTGATACATGCTAGCAATGTCATTTTAATGGGATTATGAATGGTGTATTATGACTATCTCCCTTCCTTTCCTTTCTGTGCAGTTGGGCAGCACAGTGTACCAGCCATGCATCAGTTTTTTCAGCAGATGCTATTTGAGCAAACTTTTCCCCAGTGCCTCACAGCGTTACGTCCCCATGCGCACAACATGCTGCTTTTTTAATGTGGAGATTGGCATTATTGGAGAAAACAGTATCAAATTGTTTATCTTTCTGTAGGTATTATATAGTTTACAAAGTCTAAACTTATGAAATGACTATAAACAACTAAATCTGACTTAGCTTCATACTGTATCCAGTAATGCCAGTAAAATCTCAATCAGTCATTCAAGCACCAGCGATCTTAAATTCATTGTTGTCTCTCTCTCTTTTTCTGTCCATCCCCCACTGCTTTCAATCCCACCCATCCCTGATGTCTTCCACTGTCTGTCTCTCTCTCATTCACTCTCTTTTCATCAATGCCAACCTGACCATTTATGCTTTTAAATAAAAACAATATTAATCAAATAGGAGGGAACGGCGAACAATGGCAAAGCTGATAAGTCAAAAATTGCCCCAGCCAAAGCTGCTCCAGCTAAAGCCAAGCAAACTTCAAAGCCAAAAGCCAAACCTACTGCTGCGCGAATCTTGAGCCCAAAGTTAAAACCTACTTTAGCTTCTAAATTAGCACCTAAACCAAAAGCAACACCGGCCCCAAAGAATGACAACAAAAAGAAGGCAAACAACAATGGAAAAAATAACGGTCAAGCTAAAGTAAATGGGAATGGGAAAGACAATAATGGTGATGCTAAAGCTAATGGTAAGGCTAAGGCTGGCAGCAATGGCAAAGCCAATAACAATGGCAATGGGAAGGCAGCTGTGGAGAAAAAAGCAAACGGAGAAGCTAAAGCTAATGGCAATGGTGCGAAAACAGCAAAGACTGAAAAGGCAGCAATAGCAAAGAAATCAGAAACAACTAAGAAGAAAGCAGAGACCAAACCACAACCAGCCAAAGACAAAACAAAAGCCAATGCATCACCTGCAAAGCCTAAAGCGGCCAAACCTGTGGTAGAAAAGGTTCCGACCAAAGTCACTAAAACTCAAAAACCTGTTGCTTTCAAACCCACCCTGCCTTTGCCTCTCCCTTCAAAGCCTAAGGTCTTGGATGTCAATAACATCAAATCAATGTCCAAAAATTTCCCACCCTTCGACAAGGCTGCTGTGAGTGGCACGACCATGTCTTCTCCAGAAATACCCAAGAAGAAACCCACCAATGGTTATCAACAGGTACAAAATCAAGAGCCCGCGTTGGCTGTCCAGAGCTGTATTTCCAACCTCACCATCCTGGTAGTTCAGGACTGCGTTCATAAAGTATCTCAAAGGAAACTGTTGATCTGGGATTTGTCTTCACTGAAAATGTTGAAAAATCACAGATGCAACACATTCTCCGACGTGCTTTGTGAATAAGGTCCTACATCGGACCTTTCAGGTTTTACAAACATTTTCAGTATTAATGTAATTCAAAACAGAATCAGGGAGGCGCAGAAGAACAAATAATGATTGTTTTTTCAATTGTGTAAGTGTGTAAAACCATAAAGGTATCATGATGTTGGCCAGCTATGAGGTTGGAGACATACAGACCCACTGGATCTCCTCCACCCTTTCATATACCAAATGATCTATGTGATCATTTAGGATATGATAAGCGGTATAGACTGTGTTATCACTGCATGGCTATTTGTACAGTCTTTTATCTGTCTTTCGTTTTATTTCCTTCCTACCGTTTTGTTTTTAGAAAGTAGATCAGCAGGTAATGCCGATTAGAGCATGCGTGATCAGTTAAGAAACATAAGAACTCAGAGTCATTGGTAGAGCTCAATGTTACACATGACACAACGAGTCTCTGTCTTCGTCTCATTTTATGATTTCTGCCTGTTTCTCTTTTATGTGTTGTTTGTTAAATGCTGTCTTGTCAGTAGTATGTGAATGAAGCAGTTTCACAGAAAATATCCTGTTTAAAACAGCGACTCTGTGACGCTGCACTCCATGATTATCAATTCTTTCTGTCTTTGTTGAAAATCTGAAATTGTGGACAAATGTCCGAATGTTGTTTACTAATGTTGTCAGTTGTGTTTCAATGGTCTGAGACTATTGACACCAACGTTAACAACTTTAACATTTGATCCAACTTGACTATATTTTATCCTTGACATGGCAATGTGGCTAATTAACCCAGATCAGGTTGAAAGGAAAATCTGGGACAGCAAATCTTGGCTATTAAAATAAGTTTTTCACAATGCAAAGGCTTATTACAAGATTTTTGATTCCAGTTGCAAAAGTTTCCTGTTCTGATTTTACTATAAGATCAATGGCGCTTTTGTGTGTCTGTTGGCAAAAACACATTGATCTTTTCTTTCTACAAGTTCATCAGACTTGAGCTTGTTTCATACTAATCAATCTCTCCCCTTCAAATCTGCTTACCTCCTCCCCAACTCCACCCACCTCTCGGCCTCCTCCAATCAGGACGTAGATCCTGCTTACTCAGAGGCTGACCACACCCCCACAGAGACTGATTATTATTACACAGTAGAAGAAGAAGCGAGCCCACAGCCAGAGAGTGATCTGACTGGATATGAAGAAACCATTAACCAGGTAACCCACACCCATAGAAATCTGAGAGACATGGAGCTGAAAACAGTCTCTCCATTACTCTAAATCATTACACTGGAGGTGAGACCAGCCTGTGTATGTTTTAACTTAACAATTAACCATTCTGCAGCCACCTGTGCCATGATAAGTGTTGTACTTAACTGCAAAATGAATGCATAGCATCCATTTTATCAGATATTCTTTTGTGATTCTAAAATTGCCTCAAGATTTTCTCCTTGTTCTTATATCAAAACTTTACATGACGACGCCATCTTGACATAAGAACGGAAATCTTGAGAAACAGAGATCACAAAAAAAATTGTACAATACCATGCATTCATTGCCGGATAGTTTCTTTTGAGTTATTTTTTTGGGATGCAGACACTGCCAATATGTAAGCTCTGAGAAACTGATCAACTTAAAAACTGAGCAACTAAGTAAGTGGGTTAGTTATGGATAGACCTAACTAAAACTTTTTTTTTGTCTAGAGTGGGACTTTTTGTATTGGTCAGGTTTGTATTTAAGAATAAACAAGATGTTTAGTAATAGTTTGGAAATGGACATGGCCAGAAAATTTAAATGAAAGAGTCAACAATACAATGGTAAGAGACTAGTAGGAAGAAGTGCTTTAGTTTTTGCCTCAAAGTAAGTGTGTTGCCATAGACCTGAGTGATTCTGTGGTCTCATTTTGAAATTAATTTACTGATTCATTAACAATATTGGAAAATACACCAGCAAAAGGATTTAAATTTTATTTTGAGGCACAATGCTCATAATTATGGTCACACATTTTGTTTAGTCAATGTCTTTATGCTGGAGAAGAAACGGACAAGTGCTTTCTCAAGGCCCTTTCACATCGGAGACAATAACTATAATTATACATTTTTAATATAATCGTTCCAATTCTGAGTCGACAACACAACTATAACAACAACAACACAGAGGAATGATATCATAGGAATCACTTTAATAACAATTTTTACCAGGTAATGAATGATAAAAATATTTACAGTCAGAATCCATTCGACTTTAAAAAGCTTGAGCATTTTAAGTGTGTATTTATAATATACAGAATGATATTGTCTATTGGTTTGAACTCTAAAACAGTTATCATTATAGTTATCTTTATGGTTATCATTCTTGGTGTGAACAGGCCTTTAGACTGAACAATAAAGTGGTAAATAAGACACGAAGAGGACTATTTTGGTGAGATCAGTCTGTGTACTGTGTGTGTGTGTGTGTGTGTGTGTGTGTGTGTGTGTGTGTGTCTGTAAACCTGTACCTGTGTGTGTGGATGTTTGCCTCTCTCTCATATCTGTTTTACAACAGGTAAGATCTATTATTCTGATTATTCTGTCTCTTTGCCCTCTCATTTCCTCTCTTTTTTCCTATCTTCTATCCATTTCTGCCCCATCACACCATATAATCTTCCATCCTCCAAACCATCCACTCCACCCCTACCTCTGCTCCCAATGGTACGGCCCAGGTGGACGAGACTGTCGGCGTCGAGGACATAGATGCGACCAAATCAGGTGGTGAAGGGGTGTCTCAAACGCCAGACGAGCCCTTCACTGAGGAGTACATTACAAGCGACTTTGGAATGAAGGAGTATGACTATTCCTACAAGGACTACAATGAGCCCATCATCGAAAGCAAGACAGAAGACAACTTTGGCCCTGCCCTGTCCGCTGTGACAGATGAGGGAGGTGTAAGTTACCTTGTGCTTTCTTGTAAATTCCTTTGATAAGCTTTGATAAAAGCTTCAATTGAATTTGCAATGGCTTTAAATCTTGCAGAGGCATCAAGCAGGTAGTTGTTAAGACCAGCTAAGCGCTGCTGTTGGTCTAAATGCTGGTCCAAGACGTGAGCTCTATTCCAAAACCTAGTTAATTGCCTAGACAGAAATTAAGAGTTCATTCTAATGATATATTAATGTAGTCCCTCATGGCCACGATTTAACTAAATTAAAATGGGGGTTCAAAGTAAAGTGACCACGATTTAACTGAAACAATGGAACAAACTGATTAGTTGTGGAAGCGAATTCTTAATTTATGGCCATGATATCTTTTACTTTTTTCGCTGTATGTCATGTCCAGGGCTCTGTATCAATTAACAAAATGTTTTCGTTTTAGTTAACAGTAACAGCACTGGTAGGCAGTTGACAGCAAGGCTGCTCACTAGGTTTTGGAAGAGAACTTCAGAGTCAACTTGTGTTTACTTAAGACTGAATCAAGTTTGCTTAGCGTAATGGTTCAGCAAGTTATGCCATCAACAGAAAACGGTTCCCCTGCCAGCAAACCTTGTTTATCACAAGACTTGAACACAACTCCTTCTGCACAAGATTCCTCTGCAAGTCTGCATAGAATGCTTAGTTCAGCAGCACCATCAGTATTGGTTGACTCAGCTGCTCTTTTGCTGATCTGAGAGCAGTCCTAATCTTGATCAGCATAGAACAGCAGTATCTTTTTGGACGGGCACCACGACTTGACACTTGACTTCAGCGCCAGAGCTGTTTAGTATGTTTTATGCTGTAAACCTGCATATACAAAAATAAAAGTGTATAGTGGCTACTTCAGTCTCAACAGTGTTCAACATTTAAATGGATGGCCTCACAACAGCAGATAAGTGAAATTTTAAGCCTGCTTGGTCAGCTAAGTATCTGCTTAACTTCCTTAAAAATAATTTATCAGTCCAAGTAAATCTTGAGATTCAGTGGATTATGGGTCACATCCAAAACCACAAAAAGAGTTATAATATGTCATGTAAGTGGGTGTACAATGCTCAGCTAGTACCTGAACATCTTGGACTGATGGTTTCTTCTGTTTGTATATTGACTGGGCTCTGTTTTGGGGTACATATCTGTTTTCCTCAGGCCTCCGTGCGAGCCCAGAAGGGAGAGAAGGGAGACCCTGCTGTCCTTGAACCTGTAAGCATCATACTTCCATAATCAAACCATTATGAGAAAGGTTAACATTTGGAATTTTAAATAGTAAAGGCAACTATTGCGTCTGTTAAAACATATAATTCATCCAGGCCACCAGAGGGTGCTACAAAATTCCATTGTGATGTATTTCATGTAATAGTCTTTTCTAAATGTATTATTACTGTCTTTAATTTCTTAATTTTACCGCTCTCACAGGGCATGTTGATTGAAGGACCACCTGGACCAGAAGGACCAGCAGTATGTTCACTTTATTCTCTTTTGAGTGAATTTATGATCACTTGGCATTCCCAGTCCTCCCCAAAATTGAGCTAATAATGTTTGATTCTTCACTGAAAAGCATAAATTACTTTCCTACATCTGCCATATTGAGCATTGCAAGTTATCCAGTTTGTTTCCATTACATTCTAGTGCATGTTCACAGTTGTGGTTTGTGTAGATTATGCACTCTTAATTATGCAATCTTTCCGTCTACATTAGGGTCTCCCTGGCCCCACTGGCCCTCAAGGACCCCCTGGCTCTGTTGGTGATCCTGGTGAGAGGGTGAGTGGACAGTTTTTTATGTGTGTTTATGCTTTAGATGAGCCTGGTTTCTCCCAAGATTTTTTTCTTTTTCTTAATTTCTGTCACCTGATGGAGTTTGGGTTCCTCACCACTTTCCTCTTTGGCTTGCTTTGTTGGGGTATAAAAGACATTTAATATTCAGTAATGTCATCGATGCACTGACACTATTGGATGAGAACGGGTGTAGAGAGGGTTTATAATTTAAAGCAGTATAGTCAATCCCGCTGTTGTTTCTGTAGGGTACTACTGGTAAGGCTGGTCTTCCTGGAGCGGACGGTGTCCCAGGACCTCCTGGAACTTCTGTCATGCTTCCTGTAAGTCTTCTCTCCTTTCTTTCTTTCTCTCGATGTTCATAAAGTCATATCACCACTAGATGTCACCATTATTATAAAGCAAGTGATTTAGGACATCATTTCTAACTGGCTCTCCCTGAGCTCCCACATCAAAGTTGCATAAAAAAAGTAAAATAAATTATTGCTTGATTTGCAAAACACTTCTCTGTTCTTGCAGTTCCGTTTTGGACAGAGTGCTGGCGAAAAAGGGCCCATTGCCTCAGCACAGGAGGCCCAAGCTCAAGCCATCCTGTCTCAGGCTCGGGTTAGTAGCATATAACATAGTCATATAACAATCATTTAACATTTATTTATTACTTTTTCCACATTGAGGTCTAAAATTATACATCTTAATTTGGTATTAATGGAATTGTCTTCTGTCTAGTTGGCTCTGAAAGGCCCACCAGGGCCAATGGGTTTCACCGGCCGTCCAGGACCTTTGGTAAAAGAACTAAACACTATATAAATAAATAAAATAGATATTCAACAGACATGTCTGTTGCAATATTACATGTTGTTTGTCAAGCGCTTACATCTTGCTGTTGTGATCCTATATAGGGAACAACTGGAAGTCCTGGCTTAAAGGGAGAAAGTGGGGACCATGGACCTCAGGTAAAGTCCTGAATTTGTGTTTCTGTGACATTGTAACTCTTAGTCTTGCCTCAAGAACATTAGCAGCACATTGAGTCATTCTGAGATGCTCTGACATATCTTCGATATAATCTAAAGAGACAGTCTTCTAATTTATCATGCATCCCTGTTGTGTTTTTACAGGGCCCCAGAGGTCCGCATGGATTGTCTGGTCCTCCTGGTAAATCTGGTCGGAGGGTGAGTCCACTACAGTGTTCCTGACAAATAAAAAACAAAACCCGCAGATTTACATCGACACAGGTTTTATCTATGGGCCAGAATATCACAGTAACTTCAAGGCAGTAAGCAACTACCTAGCAATAATCCAGAACGCCTTAGCAACCGCATCCTAGCATCTAGGTGGCACCTCTTGTGTTCCCCTCAAGAAATGTAGTTATCTAGTTGCTTATATTATTGATATTTCCTGCAGGGTCGTGCTGGTGCAGATGGATCCAGAGGGATGCCAGGAGAGCCCGGAGTTAAGGTTGGATGTCTTTAGTGAAGCCATTTTTGTTCAAACTGTTGTGTTATTCCACCTCTGAAACGTCTACCACATAGAAATCACGTTGACCTTGACTGAGTCTTTTGAGCGAGCATCTTTGGTTTATGAACTCATCATGAATGTGTATGTTTTTCTATATTAGGGTGACCGTGGCTTTGATGGCCTTCCTGGTTTGCCTGGTGACAAGGGTTATCGTGTAAGTGCTGACATTTTAATATCATTGTTCCAAAACATAGTGAACTTTTAAGGCAGCGTAGTTACTGCTTGATACCTTTTTTTGGCCAAAATCGAATGCAGCTTCCAATGTGTACACAGTAGACATCAAGGGTTTCACTAGATTTTGTAACATAGCTATAGGATGTATGTATAATAATGTTAAAAATGTTAATTTATTTAATTAACATTTTTTAAGGGTCAAACTGGAGGAATGGGACCCCCAGGACCCTCTGGAGAGGACGGAGAAAGGGTACTTCTCAAGGATTTTGTGCTGTTACAGTAAATTAACAATAGTGAATATGATGTATGAACACATCCTCTTGATCTTTGTTGATCATATTTGCTTGAATATCTGTCATCATCTTTATAAAGCATAAAAAATGTGAACTTAGAAGTTAGATTTTTTTTCTGATTATCCTCTTCCGTCTTGACGATTGTCAGGGAGATGATGGAGATGTTGGACCTAGAGGTCTTCCCGGTGAAGCGGTGGGTGTTTCTGTTTCTCAGACACTGTACACACATACGACTTTGTGTATGATAGCACTGACCTGTGTGACTTGGTTTTGTTCTCCAATTTAAAGTCTGTAAGGCTACTTAGATTTCATTGTATGTTCTTTGATTAACCTCTTTGTTGTTCTGTAGGGGCCCCGTGGGTTGCTGGGGCCTAAAGGGCCTTCTGGACTTCCTGGACCTCCTGTGAGTATTCATTGAAATCTTAACTACAAATACTACATAATAAGTTGTTTATTTTTTTAATTGCAATGGTTGCACAGCAACACTGTCATTAAAATGAAAGATTTGAAAAAGAAAGATTTGTACGTGGATATCCAGAATTCCAGATCTTTCTTTCTTACATTTCTCCATGTTATCTGCCTCTGCCAGGGTGTTCGTGGAAATGATGGTCCACATGGTCCAAAAGGAAACTTGGTCAGTAAATCTGAGTTCTCTGACATTACTCTAAATGCACAGTCCTGAACAGTGTAAAAATATGCAATAATTGGCATATGTGCGTGATAAGTTAAATTCTCTCTTTTAAGGGGCCTCAAGGAGAGCCTGGCCCTCCAGGGCAGCAGGGGGCTCCAGGAACACAGGTGAACAACAAGTTTATTACAGATTTAAAGACAAATGTACAAAATGTACAAAACATTTAATATGAATCTTTTTCTGTGTAATAGGGAATGTCAGGTCCACAGGGTCCTCTCGGACCACCAGGAGAGAAGGTGAGTGTATTATGATTGCAGAACACAAAGCAATAATTATTAATAATCAGTTAATGTACTTCACTGAATTGCCACTTTAGAAGATACAACAAACTTACGTGTCCAGTCTTATTCTGAGATCATCATCAATTGCAATTATAATGCCATTTCATATGTCTTCTTAAAGGGACCCACAGGAAAGCCAGGTCTGCCAGGAATGCCCGGAGCTGACGGTCCTCCTGTAAGTGTTCGATGAGTGCTGATTTTTTTTTCAGTGAACATGTATGTGGTATTACCTGCGGTAAAGAATATGCCATTCTGGTTTGGCTTAATAGGGTCATCCCGGAAAGGAAGGCCCCATTGGAACCAAAGGAAATCATGTGAGTCTATACCATAATAATTAGTATATTTCTCTGTATTGCTTCATAAATTAAATGTAATTTGTGTCATTTAACATTTGACATTTGCCTTCAGATCATATATATATATATACACACTACCGTTCAAAAGTTTGGGATCAGAATGATTTTTAATGAGTTTTTTCTGCTCATCAAGGCTTTGTGAAATATTATTATGATGTAAAATAACATTTTTATATTTTAATATACATTAAAATCGAATTTATTCCTGTGATCAAAGCTGAATTTTCAGCATCATTACTCCAGTCTTCAGAGTCACATGATCCTTCAGAAATCATTCTAATATGCTGATTTATTATCAGTGCTGGGAACTGTTGTGCTGCTTAATATTTTTTTGGAACCTGTGATTCTTTTTTCCCAGGATTCTTTGATGAATAAAAAGTTAAAAAGAAGAGCATTTATTTAAAACAGAAATATTTTCTAACAATATACACTAGAGTTCAATTTTTTTTATTAAATTTAAAATTTTTATTCATTTTGCAAGATTACTGTTTTTTTCTGTATCTTTGATCAAATAAATGCAGCCTTGATGAGCATAAGAGACTTCTTTAAAAAACATTACAAGTCTTACTGATCCCAAACTTTTGACCGGTAGTGTATATATCTTTGTTATATATATATATATATATATATATATATATAGACAGACATTTTTAGGGCAGAAATCCTAGTGTTCATATTTTGACATTCATTTTCCTTGTTCATATTTAGGGTCCTAATGGTCCTCAGGGGTCTATTGGCTATCCTGGCCCTCGAGGAGTGAAGGTATAATATACACCTTTTTTCAATTAATTTGATGCAGATAGCTTTTGTTTTTTTATCTTTTTCCAATGGACATTAAATCTGTGTAAATGTTATGGAGCTTAATCATTAAAAAATCCTGTGTAATTTTTATGAACAGTTCTGTATGTGGAGAGTTTTATGTTTTAGTAATGGCTGTTGATAGTTGATATCTGCTTTTACCTGTAAGACTCAGATTAAGATAACAGACCGAATGCTTTATGACAGGGAGCTCAAGGTATCCGTGGATTGAAGGGCCATAAGGGAGAGAAGGTGAGTGTTTTTGGTCATAACCATCAAGTTTATCATCTTTGAAACATAAATTTAAACCAATTTGTGCTACAGGTTTAGGTGCAGTGGTCAGTGTTAAATAACGTATGTTTTTTTTACTTTACTTTCAGGGAGAGGACGGATTCACTGGAATCAAAGGAGACTTTGGTGTGAAGGGAGAGAGGGTATGTCTTATGCATCACAAAACATCAGTCAATAGAAACTCATCAATTAACATTTGATTAGCACAAATGTGAAATGAGAGCAAATGGTAGCACTTGACTTGTGCACCAACAGGGAGAGGTGGGAGTGCCTGGCTCAAGAGGAGAGGACGGTCCTGAGGGCCCGAAGGGTCGTGTCGGTCCCCCTGGTGAAATTGGTCCTATTGGCCTGCTTGGAGAGAAGGTTAGTTTATTTAAAATGAGTGGTGATTGCTGATTTTGTTCCATTATATATCATTTTAGCTATGTTTTGTATTGCCATTGATATTGGCAGTAAATTATAATGAATATAAATGTTATGTTTGTTGTATTAAATGTATATTTCTGAATATATAACTTATTAATTAAAAATATAGATTTTAGTTGTTGGTCTAAAGATGTATTAAATCTTACTAAATGATGTCAATCCAGGGCAAACTTGGTGTGCCTGGACTTCCTGGATATCCCGGAAGGCAAGGAATTAAGGTAAACAAAAGTAATATTGTTCATGAGACATGATGTGATATTCAGCCGTCATTCATTTCATCAAATATATTGCGTTTTTCAAACAATGTAATGCTTGTGTTTTAAGGGCTCCCTCGGTTTCCCAGGATTCCCTGGTGCAAATGGCGAGAAAGGTGCAAGGGTAAGATTTTTTAGACTAAATTGGACTAAAACTCAAGAGTTAGAAGTATTGATCACAGGTCACTGGGAGGTCAATGCAGTGTCCCGCGTAGAGTATCTTCCTTTATTTTGGAAAAGAATTGATTATGCTGAAAAATTCTGAACTGATTTTCCCCATTCCAGGGTTTGATTGGAAAACTTGGACCAAGAGGACAGAGAGGGCCAACAGTAAGAGCCTGTTTTAATTCATCATTTCATCTCTCATTTTCTGTTCCATTTATTAAAAAACAAAAAACACTTTTTGCTTTCATTTGATTTGAAATTGTTTGATTTGTTTAGTAGATTAAAGTTGCTGTTGTTGATTCAAGCAGATGACAGATTTCAGATCAGTTAACTTATAAAGCAATGCACAATGATTTTCTAAAACGACGACTTTTTAAAAAATCTTTTTAGGGTCCCAGAGGGCAGAGAGGACCCCGTGGGTCTACAGGAAAATCAGGTGCTAAGGTATGAGATTATTTTCAAATTATTTTCGTTTTATAGCTACTTTTTAGAGGATTTTTTAAAGGGGTCATATGATGCGATTTCCAGAGTTTTCCTTTCTCTTTGGAGTGTTACAAGCTGTTCGTGAATAGATAAGGTCCCTAAAGTTGCAAAGACTAAAGTCTTAAACCCAAAAATATATTCTTTATAAAAGTTAAGACTCGTCCACGCCTCCTAAATCGCCTCGTTTAAACACACCCCACATGTCTACGTCACTGTGTGGGAAGATTTGCATAACACCGCCCAAATGTTCACGCAAAGAAAGAAGGCGTAACTTTACTGTTGCTGCCGCCGCCGCCACCATGTTGTGCCGGGACACAGCATCACAATATGGTAGGGGAGTAACATTTCCGTCACACGCTTGAGGTATTCGGGCAATCACAACGCACTGGATAGCTGGCCAATCACAGCACGCCTCGCTTTTCAGAACGATGAGCTTTGTAAAAATCTTTGCGTTTCAGAAAGGCGGGGCATAGAGGAGAAACAATAATGTACAGTATGTGGAAAATAATGTGTTTTTTGAACCTTAAACCGCATAAACACATTTCATTACACCAAATACACAAAATAATGTTTTTTTTAGCAACATCATATGACCCCTTTAATGTTATATTTATTGTTGTTAATTTAGTGGACATTGTTTGAGGCATTGCTCAACTAATTTTTGTAGTTTTTCAACGACGAAAATAAAGATCAATTAATTTCAGTCAATCAGTTTCTACATTCTGATGTTTTAGGGTGGATCGGGCAGTGACGGGCCTCCTGGACCACCTGGGGAGAGAGTATGTTTTTTTCAAAACTTTATTTTATTTATTTAAAACCTTTGAGTATAGGTTTTCGCTTCAGCTTTATTTATTTATTATGTTTCTCCTTTTGTACAGGGACTAACTGGACCTCAAGGTCCAAATGGATTCCCTGGGCCGAAGGGACCTCCTGTAAGGAACACAGTTTATTAGTTTGATCTGATGCTTAAACTGAACTTTTGTTTTTCTCTATTACTTATTGATATGTCAATTGATTTTGAAGGGACCTCCAGGGAAAGATGGACTGCCTGGATACCCTGGACAAAGAGGCGAAGTTGTACGTATCTTTCATTTTTTATCATCTAAAGTGCAATATTCACTGTGATCAAAGTTGAACAGCAACATATATTTTTCACATTGTATTCTTAGGGTTTCCAAGGCAAAACTGGACCCCCTGGGCCACCGGGAGTTGTTGGACCACAGGTGAGTTTTGTGCTTTTATCGAGCAAAATGGGTTTCTTTCTCGAGAAACTGTTAATAAAATTTCAAAAAAATTAATAAATCTTTAAAATCGATTCAGAAATGTATGGAACTGTACAAGCTTTACTCAAATCTAGTTCTTGTTTAGGGTCCCTCTGGTGAGACTGGTCAGCTGGGTGAGCGTGGTCACCCAGGACCCCCAGGACCACCCGGTGAGCAAGGTCTTCCTGGGCCTTCTGGTAAAGAGGGAACCAAAGGAGATCCCGGTCCCACCGGCGGCCCCGGTAAAGACGGACCCCATGGACTGAGAGGATTCCCAGGAGAGAGAGGACTGTCAGGAACTCCAGTAATAAGTCTCACCCATTCTGCTTAGTGAAGTTTATATTATAAAACCTTTTCTAAATGTGTTTTCTGAGCTCTACCTTTGTGTTTTCATAGGGCACTGGAGGACTGAAAGGAAATGAAGGCCCTGCTGGACCACCTGGACCTGCTGTATGTTGCTCATAATAACCAGAATATGAAATATCACGTAGATACACTCTTCAAAATAAAGGTTCTTTATTGCAATTAATGGTTCCATGAAGATCCTTTAACATCCATAAAACATTTTAATTGCACAAAAGGTTTTTATACTGCAGAAATGTTCTCTAGATTATAATATGTTCTTTACACTATAAGTGTATAAGAACTGAAAAGTTCTTTGGGGAACTCAGAATGGTTCTTCTATAGCATCACTGCAAAAACCTTTATTTTTAAGAGTGTAGCGACATTAATTAATGATTAGGGCCGACTTATGAATTCATATTGATATTGCTCATACTGCTCATACAATACCATAGTGTATTCTGTACTTACAATTGTGCTTGTAGTTTACAAATGTATACAATTTAAATAATATTTAATATTTCAATTATTTTTATAAAATATATTTTTCATAAAGAGAACTCTATTTTCACATTTCAGTGGGTTAGAGAGAGAAAATTAATTATGTGCTTAATTGTCATAAAGATGATAAAAAAACATTATTTACTTTTTTATTTTGATTTTAGGATTAAATAATAATGATAATAATTCCCAGATGTTTATGATCTTAATTTTGAGAAATTAAGAAATTATATGATGGTCTTTCAGTCTGTTACCCTAACTGAATTTCTATGCAGGGATCACCTGGGGAGAGAGGAGCAGCTGGCACTGCAGGTACTGTCGGCCCGCCTGGACGACCTGGACCTCAGGGGCCTCCTGGAGCTGCGGGAGAAAAAGGAGTGCCAGTAAGTGTCTACTCTAGGTTTGCACCTTATCTCTAATATTTATATATAGGCCTGTCAAATAAGATAATCCTGTTTTACAGGGGGAGAAAGGTCCAATTGGTCCAGCTGGTCGTGATGGCATCCAAGGCCCAGTTGGTCTCCCAGGCCCTGCTGGACCTCCAGGTACTGCTGGAGAGGATGGAGACAAGGTAAGCAACCTCTTCATATCTCAATCTCAAATCTTCACAGTTATGTGGATGTTCTTGTCAAATATAAAATGTAACTGTTTTTTTGTATAGGGTGAGGTTGGAGAGCCAGGACAAAAGGGCGGTAAAGGATCCAAGGGAGAACATGTGAGTAAATTAACTTTCGTTTAAGAAATCTTCATAATTTTAATATGTCTTGTTTCCAAAGAAAATACATCAACATTGTAACGAGTTCCAAGCCTTTTCAAGGAGTCCTAAAATTAGAAAAAAAAACTTGCATGCTTAGATTTTGTTTCACTTATTTTGGTGAGCATAATATCAATCTATAATCAATTATTTGCACATTCACAGGGTCCTCCTGGTCCACTTGGGCCAATGGGTCCTGTTGGACAGCCTGGTGCAGCTGTGAGTGTGATTTGATGCCAACAAAGTCATGCTACTATTCATAGGTAGTCAAAAGGTTATATCTGCTTGTGGTCGACCCCATTTCAAATCTCTTCTCAGGGTGCTGATGGTGAGACAGGTGCAAGAGGTCAACAGGGACCATTCGGCGCTAAGGGAGATGAAGGGACAAGAGGATTCCCTGGGCCTCCAGGCCCTATTGGACTGCAGGTACAGATTGTGTTGTATTCACTCTTACCCATTAAAATCTACATACTGGATGTTTTAGCTATTAACACTTCGTTCACATTCATTAGGGTTTACCAGGCCCAGCTGGAGAAAAAGGAGAGACGGGAGATGTTGGGCCAATGGTGAGTCTTAATATTTTTATTTAAAGGCAGTTAAAGGTACAATTGATGTTTATAATGCAACATATGATGCTCTAGCATTTTGAATCACCCTTAGAATAAACATATGTGATGCCTATATCCTAATCATTTCTGATCATGTATTTCTGTAGGGTCCTCCTGGTCCACCAGGTCCACGTGGTCCAGCTGGTCCTAATGGTGCTGATGTAAGTAACTTAATTTGTACTATAAATAATAATTTACAGATGATTACAGTTCATTATTATTTGTGTTATAATCACAATGCAATGACTCTCTGAAATACTTTATTCAGATTGGTCAATCATGGCATTCTGCGGTCAATTAATTTAGCATTGTTTGGATAATTGAATGCATATCCTTAATTTTTCAGGGTCCTCAAGGTCCTCCAGGAGGTTTGGGTAATCCAGGTCCCATAGGAGAGAAGGCAAGTATAAAAAAGTTAATCTTTCTGCATGGATGATGACTTTATGATTGACAAGATTAGCAGTTCTGATTTGTTGGCACTTGACGTTGTTTTATTTGTATTGCCAGGGTGAGCCTGGTGAATCTGGACAACCTGGTGTTGGTGGAGAGCCAGGAAAAACAGTGAGAATTTTTTTTGTTGAAATTTTTATCATCCTCTGAACTTGTAAAAAAAAAAAGACTTACATTTATATTTATTTAGTAGATATAATCACAGCTAACACCTTATTGGTTTGCTTATCCAATGTCAGGGCCCGAGAGGAGAGCGTGGTGAGAAGGGAGAGGCTGGGCATCCGGGCACCTCTGGTCCTGCTGGTGGAAAAGGACCCCCTGGAGATGATGGACCCAAAGGAAACCCCGTATGTATTAAACATGACATAGCTTTGAAATGAGAAACAGGTCTATCTGTGACTCTTCGGCAGCTGATATTTGTGTTTTCAAGGGTCCCGTTGGTTTCCCTGGTGATCCTGGTCCCCCTGGTGAAGTTGGACCACGAGTGAGTAGAGCTGTCATTTACATACTAATACATGACACTTCAAGTCAACATGAAATTGAATATGACCCTTCGTACATTCTTCGTACATGTTCCTGGTCTTTGTATATGATTCATCTGTGCAAGAAAAAAAATGTCTGACCTTCTTTACAGGGCCAAGATGGTGCAAAGGGTGAAAGAGGAGAGGATGGAGAACAAGGAGAAGCTGTGAGTGATCATCCTCCTGTTTATAAAGTGCACATCTTCCTTATGCATACTTATAAGGTGTTTTTTCACGATATATTGTGTTCACTGAGTACTATCTTTGTATGGCTTTAGGGTTCACCTGGACCAACTGGTGAGAACGGACCACCTGGACCTCCAGGAAAGAGAGTAAGATCACCATATTTCACCACATCCCAACATAACCACTCTCATGTTAATTTGTGAGCCTTGTAATTTTAGATCATTGATTGTGTATTTCACTGTAGTAGATGAGTAATCTGAGTAATTTGTTAAATATTTGGTCTACAAAAAATATTGTACAGGATGGAACCCATAGAAATATACATATTTCTGGACTTTAAACTGTGTTAATGTTCATATTCCAGGGTCCTCCAGGCACAAGGGGACCAGAGGGTCGTCAGGGAGAGAAAGGAAGCAAGGTGAGACTAAGAGAGAATATAGTTACAACAAATAAACAGGCTTTTTGTAGTTTTTTTTCCTCCTATAATCTGTTTTTTTTCTAGGGGGATTCAGGTGCCCTGGGCCCTCCAGGAAAGACTGGCCCCGTGGGGGCACAGGGTACACCAGGAAAACCAGGAACTGAGGGTCTAAGAGGGTTGCCTGGAACAGTGGTATGATATTGGAATTGTGGATTTTTTTTTCTGTTTATTTAGTAAAAACTAATATAGTGTTTATCAGATGATCTTCTGACAATTGATAACTGTATTTAGGGTGAGCAAGGCGCTCCAGGTGCTGCTGGCCAGAAGGGACCCCCTGGACCAATGGTAAGACCCTCTGTATTAGAGCATTACAGCAAACGCACTCCTTATGGAGGTGCAGGGGGAAAAATGAAGAGTATAACAGCACACTCACTTACAAGATCATTATAACCAACATTTTAGCAACAAACATTTGTCAAGTTACAATTTCCTCAAAACTGAGAACATCATAAATCGAGTTACTCACAAGTGAAACATATTTACACCACAATCAGTATTCAATAATTATTTAACAATCTTGAGCAATTAACACAGTAACACAGTAACACAGACAGATCCGTATATCGCATTACATCAGAGAGATCTCTGGTTATGTTGTTTTGGTCTTTTGAGACTTTTTGTGTCTCATGTTTGTTGGTAATAATATACTTGTGAGTGTGCCGTTATAATCTTCTTAACAAAGACCCGCTGTATTATCAAATATACAGTAATAAATTGAGTTTTCAATATACAAGTATACACGAAGAAGTGAACTATTATTATAGTTACATGAAATAGATGTATGTATATTGAATGCCAAATATTCCGCTCCTCTCACAGGGTCCTCCAGGTTTGCCAGGTCTTCGTGGTGACCCCGGCGCTAAGGGTGAGAAGGGACATCCAGGTATGCTCGGTCTGATCGGGCCTCCAGGAGAACAAGGAGAGAAGGGAGACCGAGGCCTGCCGGGACCTCAGGGATCATCAGGACACAAGGGAGAAACGGTATGTGAAGTCTGGTCACGTCCTCCGCACATCAAAATCACACCACAGCCACTACCGTTCAAAAGTGTGGTCTGTAAGATTTTTTTAAAAGAAATTAATGTTTAAATATTCATCAAGGATGCGATAAATTGCTCAAAAGTGACAGTAAAGACATTTATAATAATGCAAAGGATTTTATTTTAAATAAATGCTGTTCTTTTGAACTTTGTATTCATCAAAGAATCCTGAGAAATAAAATTTATCAGTTTCCACAAAAATATGAAGCAGCACAACTGTTTTCAACATTGATAATAATCAGAAATGTTTGTTGAGCAGCAAATCAGCATATTAGAATGATTTCTGAAGATCATGTGACACTGAAGACTGGAGTAATGATGCTGAAAATACAGCTTTGATCACAGGAATAAATTACTAATTTTTCAAATGTATTAAAAATAGAAAGCGGTTATATTAAATTATAGTAATGCTTTACAGTATTTTTTATCAAATAAATGCAGCCTTGGTGAGCAGAAGAGACTTCTTTCTAAAACATTTTTAAAAGTCTGTGCATCCCCAAACCTTTGAAGGGTAGTGTACATGTAAAACTTTCCCAGTTCATATCCTATTTCATATCAACAAATACCATATTTAGTTTTCTTCTTTCTTTCATTTCTTGATGTGTTTTGTTAGGGTATGCCTGGAGGAACGGGTCCTCTTGGTCCTGCAGGTCCTGCTGGTATGCCTGTGAGTAAACTTTCATTACCATTTCTCACTTCTGTAGAGCTGTTTATCATACCAAACTCTGAATTTTGTGGAGAAACATGTCTTAAGTACTTTGAAGTACACTGATTCTTCATGATTAATCCTTTGTTAAACCTTAAAAAAAATCTTGAAACTATGACTACTTAACTTGAGCTCTGAAGCACCAAAATATATCATCGCAAAACACTGGTTTCCTCGATCAAAGCTGAATGGATGTGATGTTTCTCACAGGGTCTGAGGGGTATCAAAGGAGCTAAAGGTGCCACTGTGAGTAATCCTTCCTTAAATATTTGTACTTAAGATCAAATGTATTGTGAGAAGTAAATCATGAGCCATATTATGTGAGGTAATGTTTACGTAAAGCATTATACATGTCACATTTCTTATACTTTACACTAAAATGGCACTAATTTCTTAATGTCTTTCTCTTTTGTACAGGGTGGAGCTGGTCCTAAAGGAGAAAAAGGTGTACAAGGACCACCAGGACCACCTGTGAGTCGTATCTGTTATCTACAATACAAAACGCAAGATGTTGTACAGTCATCATTTGGCATCTTCATTCAAGACAAATAAAAGGAGATCAGCACATCCCAGAGTTCCTTGAAATGCAGCTGAATTTAGTTTTTTCTTTAGGGACCACCTGGTGATGTCATTCAGCCGCTGCCTATTCAGTTCCCTAAGAAGTCCAAGCGCTCCATCGATGCCAGTAAGATGCTCTCTGAGACTGAGGCTGCCGATGCCACGGGCACAGAGTTCCTGACCGCTAATGAAGGTATGGAGGAGATCTTCAGCTCGCTCAATTCCCTGCGCCAGGAGATCGAGAGCATGCGCTTCCCGCTGGGAACACAGGAAAGCCCCGCCCGCACCTGCCAGGACCTCCACCTCAGCCAACCAAATCTGAAAGACGGTATGATCGTCATGGTTACTATGTGATTGACACATTCCGTAACCAATGGTGAGCCATTAGACATTCTAATCATTCTTATTCTTTTATTCAGGCGAGTACTGGATTGATCCAAATCAAGGCTGCGCCCGGGACTCATTCAAGGTTTACTGTAACTTCACTGCCGGGGGAGAGACGTGCTTGTATCCCAGCAAAGCAGTAGAGAATGTAAGAATTTGCTGGCATTCATTTTTATATGTTTATACTTTACTGCGACATCCTTAGACTTCTGAAGTCTTGACTTGTCTGAATTTACTAGTCCTTAATTCTGCCATAGGTGAAGATGAACACTTGGCCAAAGGAGAAGCCTGGGTCCTGGTTTAGTCAGTTTGCAAAGGGCAGCCAGGTGAGTTTATCACTTCAAGAACTCTTCAGAATCTTCTCTTCAATCCATGTTTCATTTAGCCAAGTAATATGCACAAATGAACCAAAAGCTCGTTATTAAAGGGATAGTTCACCCAAAAATGACAATTCTGTCATCATAACAGTTGCTGGTCCCCACTGACTTCCTTATTATGAAAAAGAATACAATGGAGGTCAATGGGGTCCAGAAACTGTTTGGTTTCCCAGATTCTTCAAAATATCTTCTTTAGTGTTCAGCAGAAGAAAGAACAGCTTGAGGGTTTTCATTTTTGGGTGAACTCTCCCTTTAATGGGTGTTTACACTGAGAGTGATTTGCAGCGACAACACAACCAGAAGTTATTCATCATCAAAATCTAAGAAATATTGCAGTCGAGTTCATTATATTGTGAATCACTGTTTTCTTTTATGTTGTAGTTTTCATATGTTGACTTGAGTGGAGAGCCCGTGGGTGTTGTCCAGCTGGGATTCTTGCGGTTGCTCAGCGTTCAGGCCCGTCAAAACCTGACCTACCACTGCCAGCGATCAGTGGCCTGGGCGGACCTCACGAGCGACAGCGTGTACCAGAGGGCACTACTCTTCCAGGGTGCCAACGATGAAGAGCTCAGCTACGAGACCAGCCCCTACATCAAAGCCCTCACCGACGGCTGCTCTGTAAGTTAACAGAAACAAATAAATAGATAAAAGATGTCAGTATGTTTAAAAGCTAGCGATTGCACTATATAAGCATTTTAAGTAATGAAAAGATTTTGGGATGTTTTTAATGTACATTTTTTTTGTTCAATTAATATTAAATTTACTTTTTAATGTACTATTTGGGGTGTTTTTAGAACGTTTTAACTGAACCCAAAATGCAATATTATTACAAATGTTTGAGCTTGATGGGTAGTTGGTCTTGTGTGCGTGTATATACATACATGGAGCCCGTGGGTGTTGTCCAGCTGGGATTCTTGCGGTTGCTCAGCGTTCAGGCCCGTCAAAACCTGACCTACCACTGCCAGCGATCAGTGGCCTGGGCGGACCTCACGAGCGACAGCGTGTACCAGAGGGCACTACTCTTCCAGGGTGCCAACGATGAAGAGCTCAGCTACGAGACCAGCCCCTACATCAAAGCCCTCACCGACGGCTGCTCTGTAAGTTAACAGAAACAAATAAATAGATAAAAGATGGCAGTATGTTTAAAAGCTAGCGATTGCACTATATAAGCATTTTAAGTAATGAAAAGATTTTGGGATGTTTTTAATGTACATTTTTTTGTTCAATTAATATTAAATTTACTTTTTAATGTACTATTTGGGGTGTTTTTAGAACGTTTTAACTGAACCCAAAATGCAATATTATTACAAATGTTTGAGCTTGATGGGTAGTTGGTCTTGTGTGCGTGTATATACATACATATATATTTTTTCCTTTACTTTTTTGATTATCTTAACCCTTATATTATGTTCTGGGTCAGTTTGACCCGAACACATTTATGAGTTGTCAGAAATCCTGAAATGGACTCTTTCTTGTTTAGGGTCATAAACATGCCTGCAATGTTGTGGAATCTGCATACATCATATATTATTATGATGTATTGTAAAATGTAAAACATAAATTTTGTTATGGCAGAAGTATTGAAACAAAGACATTTTGTATACTGTGCTGAAGGCATATATTTTCATGTGTGGGAATCGATCCCATGATCTTGAAATGGCTAACTCCAGGTTTTATTGTTCGAAGTTTCACAAAGACACACACACAAAAAAACTATTTGAAAATTTTAAAAATATATATATATATATATATATATTTATTTTTATCTATATTTA